TGCTAGAGTCCTGGGAGGCTTAGCACCCTGTTCCCAGCTCCCTGAGTGCTTGCAGAATGGCCTCACTCTGCCAAGGAAAGCTTCACAGGTAGCCATGCAGGTGCTCTCACCCTTCAGTGCACCCTGCACAAGGCGTGCTTTGTACCCACAAATGCCTATTCTTGGAGATTTCCAATAGACAGGCCAACTAGTCATCATTTCTCATTAATTAGTCACTAATCTGTAAGTTGATCTTAACAGCAAGCTTGTACATTAATAACTATCTAAGTAGTGATGCTGGCAAGCTTACAGTTACATCAGATTTAAAAGCCATTTACAGGTACTAGAATTAATAGAATCAGTAATAATAATTCATTGTATTTTGAAGTATCAATGATGTCATTTTCATGTAAAAAAGGAGCCTATTCTATTCATTTTAAGAGTTTACATAACCCTCAGGGACAGGCACATCAACATTTGACAACTGGGGACTGACCATGTTGTGTGTGTGCAGTCCATGGTAGGCTCACAAGCACAAATGAGAAGACACCAGCCAAGGAGGAGGCTGCCAGGCTGGGCAGCAGCTGCGTTTGTAATGTAGCAGTGAAAGAAAGAAAAGAGCCATCCTTTCCACAGCTTTAAGCTTGGACTACCTCCAGGAGCCCGTTAGCAGCAGGCAGATCTCAGCATCTCTCTTGCTCGTTGAACAGAAAGCTAGGGTCGAAAATCCTCCTTGAATGGAGAGGCAAACTGTGTGAGAAGGTCAGACTCTGCTGCCAATGTTTCGCAGCAGGGCAGCCCCAGGCCAGTTGAAAGACTGACGCTTTGCTACCGTTCTCACATGTATTCCCCAACCCGCAGCTTCCTCACATATTCCCACCCTTGGCTGGCCTCCCACGACTTATTCACAGTAGTAACATCTGTCACAGAGCAAACTCAGCCAAGGTTGCCCCTAACCTCCATGTGCCTGACCAGTCCTTCCTTATCTGTCGATATCAAGTCCATAGAGCACCTCACCTTGTCAGCTCTTCCATCACCTGTGTGAGTGAGCTATCATCACTGCACTCCAGAAACCTCCTGGACTGCTTGTGCCCTGCTGCGTTGCCCTTCCAGCAGGTGCTTAAAGTTCCCTTGAGGACCAGGGCCTCCTACTGGTTATCTGAAGGTCTCCTCTACTTTTTCCTGATGAGGTAGCTTGTAGTAGACAGCCACAGCAGCATCACCCATGTTGTTCTGCCCTCTAATCCTAGGCCATAAACTCTCAGCTGGCTCATCATCCATCTTAAAGCAGAGCTCCATGCATTCCTTCTGCTCTCTCACATACAGGGCACCTCACCATCCTGATTTGTCCTTGTTAAGGAGCCTATATCCATCCATGGCAGCACCCCAGCCACATGAGCTATCCCACGCTGTCACAAAATCACAGAATCAGAATGGTTGGGGCTAGAAGGGACCTCGGGACACCATCCAGTCCAACCCCCTGCTAAAACAGGTTCACCTAGAGCAGGTTGCACAGGATTGCATCCAGGTGGGTTTTTAATACCTCCAGAGAAGGAGACTCTACAGCCTCTCTGGGCAGCCTGTTCCAGTGCTCTGTCACCCTCAAAGTAAAGAAGTTTTTCCTTATATTCAGATGGACCTTCCTGTGTTTCAGTTTGTGCCCATTGGCCCTTATCCTGTTGCCGGGCACCACTGAAAAGAGTCTGGCATCATCCTCCTGACACCTGCCCTTAAGATATTTGTAAGTGTTGATAAGATCCCCTCTCAGTCTCCTCTTCTCCAGGCTGAACAGACCCAGGTCTCTCAGTCTTTCCTCATAAGAGAGATGCTCCAGTCCCCTAATCATCTTCACAGCCCTCCGCTGGAGTCTCTCCAGTAGTTCCTTGTCTTTCTGGAACTGGGGAGCCCCGAACTCAAGACAGTACTCCAGGTGTTGCTTCACCAGGGCAGAGTAGAGAGGGAGGATAACCTCTCTCGACCTGCTGGCCACACTCTTCCTAATGCACCCCAGGATACCATTGGCCTTCTTGGCCACAAGGGCACATTGCTGGCTCATGATTAACTTGTTGTCCACCAGGACTCCCAGGTCCTTCTCCACAGAGCTGCTTTCCAGCAGGTCAACCCCTAACCTATACTGGTGCAGGGGGTTATTCCTCCCTAGGTGCAGGACCCTACACTTGCCTTTGTTGAACCTCATTAGGTTCCTCTCCGCCCAGCTCTCTAGCCTGTCCAGGTCTCGCTGAATGGCAGCACAGCCTTCTGGTGTATCAGCCGCTCCTCCCAGTTTTGTATCATCAGCAGACTTGCTGAGGGTACACTCTGCCCCTTCATCCAAGCCATTGATGAATAAGTTGAATAAGACTGTACCCAGTACTGTCCTCTGGGGAACACTGCTTAGCTACAGGCCTCCAACTAGACTCTGTGCCACTGATCACAACCCTCGGAGCTCTGCTATTCAGCCGGTTCTCAATCCTTCTTACTGTCCACTCATCTAACCCACATTTCCTGAGCCTACCTATGAGGATGTTATGGGAGACAGTGTCAAAAGCCTTGCCAAAGTCAAGGTAGACAACATCCCCTGCTCTCCTCTCATCTACTCAGCCAGTCATGCCATCATAGAAGGCTATCAGATTGGTCAAGCATGATTTCCCCTTGGTGAATCCATGTTGACTACTCCTGATAACCTTCTCTTCCTCCACTTGCTTAGAGGTGATATCCAGAATGTCTGTCTCCATGATCCAAATGAGATCATAGCCCTGCAACTACACACAGACCTGCAATTCCTCCTCTTTGTTCCTGTGCTGTTGTGTGTACTATACAGGCACTTTAGACAGGTGCTCTCTCGTGATGACTCCCCAGAAAAGGTGTGAGAGCTTCCCCCATAATGCTGTTCTGTAGGCACTTCCTTATACGCATACATATACTTGGAGGGGGAGCTTCTGACCTGTTTTCTTGTTTTCAGAGTCTCTCCTTGAAATCACGTCATCCCGTGCCCTTTGCTTACCAAACCAGTCCACCACTTCCTCACTTAGTGTGGGTCATCATCTTTTCCCCTGATGCCCAATCAATTACTTCTAGTTTAAAGCTCTCCTTAGCAAATTAGCCAGCCTGTTGAAAAGATGCTTTTGCCCTGCTTGGTCAGGTGGATCCCATCTTTTCTTAGTAGTCCTGAGTCCTCAGAGAGGGTTCCATGGTCATAAAAGCTGAATCCCCTTTGTTGACACCAGCTGTGCAAACAATTGTTGACCTTCAGGATCTTTTCCCAGTGAGGAAGATGGGCTTGAGGAGGAGTGAAAATTGAGAAGAAAACCACCTGGGCCCCCAAGATGTTGACCACCACCCCAGAACAATGTAGTAGTCATGCTTGAAATGCTCCAGGTCTTCCCTGGCAGTATTGTTGATGCCCATGTGAAAGAGAAGCAGTGATGAATAGTTTGAAGCTTGTCTCTCCGCAACATCCTTGATCCAAGTCCCTGGTGAGCAGCAAACCTCTCTAGAGAGCAGGCTGGGTCAGCAGGTAGGGTCCTCCATCCCATGCAGGAGGAACTTTCCCTCTACTGTCAGTCACGTCTTCCTCCTGGTGCTCCTGTGTAGCTCAGGCCCAGCTGGCACGGAGGTTTCACTGGAGAAAGCTCCCGACCCCTTGTCTGCTACGAAGGTACTGACTTTGTTCGTAGCTGCAGATCTGCAGTTGCAGTGATCCTCCTGGTGCCAGAAGTCACAAGCTTCCAGCCTTCACCGTCATGGGAGTCCCCATTTCCTAATCCGATAAGCACAGACTTTGCCTGCCCCTCCTATAGGAATGCAGTGGGTTCAGCTTCCTTAAGCTGTAGAGTCTCAGAAAAGATCCAGTTGATCCCTTTCTCATCATCTCTGATGCTGTGCAGGCTACTGACCTTCTCCCACAGCTCCTGGTGACTCACACCTTCCACCTACGCACACCTCCTGCAGGCAAGGAGCCTGTACCTCCCAGGCCAGCGAGAGGCCCTGGGCACCCCTCCCCAGCCCCTGGACTGGAGAGCTGCACCACCCCTCAGCACCTCAATCTGAGCCAAGGCCTCTGATGCACCAGGGACAGCTGATCCAGACCGTGCTGGGGACCGTGACCTGCAGCACACCACCACCACAGCTGAGCACACGTATGCTGCTCTGCAAAGGCTGCTGGCCCTCTTCTGCACAAGCTGCTGCACCCACTAACTATACCCAGGAGCTGCACTCCAAACCACCTCCTCCATTGGCATCTCCTCAGCACCTGCTGCAAGGCTGCCTGGCAGCCATAACAGGGCTCAGCTGGGACAAAACCTCCCAGCACCCTTTGGCCAGGAGCAGCTCACAGAGCTTGCTAGAAGCCTCTAGATCGGTTAGATCTTGCTAGAAGCAGCCACAGCTTCCCGTAGCTATCGCTTCCCAAGAGCAGCACCAGACACTCTGATGTTCCTTAGAGGGTTGCCAGGAGTCCCCTAGCAATCCCAAAAGGAGCTTCTAGAAGATCTTGAAGCAGAGCCAGGAAACCGCTGCAGCGAGCGCTCTGCCCGTTGGCCACCTCGGCTAGCTGTGCTCTCCAGTCAGGGAGGAGGGCAGAGGGCAGCCCCTCTCACAGGCCTCCAATCTTCTTCAGCATGAGTTTTTAGCTCTTCGGTTTCACTGAAGATTACCAACAATGGAGCATAATCACAAAAACGATTTAAAGCTTAAAAAATCAAATGCAGTTGATGACATTTCAGCAAGCTTCGGTTGCACGTGAATTGTCAAGAGCGTCTGCCTTGTTTGCTAATAAAATCACTAAGCCCAAAGTCAAGGTATGGTAGAGATGGTCCTCAGAAGCGTGCTGAAGAGCCCCAGCATGAGGTAACAGGGGGTGGGAGCAGCCCCAGCGTGAGGTGATAGGGGGTGGGGCCAGCCCAAGTGTGAGGTATGTGGGTGTGGCAGGGAGGAGCACAGGGGCTGTCCCTATAGGGAGGTGCCCATGCAGGGCTGCAGCTGTGGGCAGGTGGTGGTGTGGGTCTCTGCTGGCTGCCACGATGGCTGGCTTGAGAGTGGACTTTGGCTTGCTCTTGGAGCCTCTTGGCTTCATTAAGGTCCTTGAGTGGGTGAGTGGGGCTGGGGAGGTACAGGGGGAAGCCTTGTTCTCCTTGTGGGGCTGTTTCTTCTCCTTTCCTAGGCCTGGCTTTGTTCTTGTGTCTTGTCTGGGTAAGCCTGAAGAGGTGTGTGCTAATGGGCTGCCTGCTCCCTGCCTCATATTGCTGGTGGTGGATGTTCAACACTAGGCTGCTCTTCAGCCAAGCCCTCTGACTGGGAGAGAAGAAAATGGTTCTGCAGATATGTAAAATCTATGTGTTAATCACAAGTTTGTCACAGTAACTTGTGCTGCTGTCTGTTGTGAGTTCTGATGATCAGGGGTCTAGGGCTTTGCTAGTGAACAAAGGGAAAATGAGAGCTGCTTAGGGAGTCAAGCTGATGTGCAATACTCTGAGCACGTACCTCCCAGCTACTCTAATCTACGGTTGTGGATGTCTGAGACTCCTAAAAATGCTTCCCTTACCAACTGCAAGAGGTACTGTGCTTGCTTGTAGCATTCAAAAACAAAAGACTTTTGCTGTAGAGCTAAGAAAAATATAAATGAAAAGAACTTTCAAATGGGCTTTTGTTAGCAGTGTTGGTCCTGGTTTTGGATTATAGAAACTCAACATTTTCACTGCCTCTTGACATCACTCCATACTTCACTATTGCTAACTTTGTCCCTATTCCTTGCCTTTGTTAGCTGTTTCAGCTAAATGTTGAATTTATTTCCCTTGATGGTGATGTGCACTAATATATCTATGTATCAATTCCTATAGATTTTTTCCATCTTTGCTTTTGCCACATGTGGAGGCTTTCAAGGTGAAACTACCCTTCTAATTTCCTGCAAAGGTGTGGTAAACAAAACAGTTACAGCTGCTTTTGCTTATCCATTCAGGTGGGTATTAGCTCTTCAGTTGTCACTCATACACTAATTATTTATTATTCACTTTTTTCCCTATTTGTCTACCTATGAATATGTACTTACTGTATGTATCTGAATGAACATGTGAAACCACCTCTGGCTTGCTGTGTAGTAGCAATAAATAAATATTTAGCTGTAGCTGTTCAAAGCATTGTGGTTGTTAGTGCCCTATAGAAAGAAGTAGGTAGGAATGGCAATAGGCCATATTACTGTTTTGTATTACTCTACCTTAAGCTCTATTCTAGCAGTGCATGAATGCTACAAAAGGTATTTAATAAGCAAAACAATACAATTAATTTTAACAACCTATTTCTTCATCAATTTGTAGTTGCTTTGGAGGCCCAGATAATCTTATTTTGGATGTGCCATGATTGTATTTTTGTTTAAAGATTGAATAGAAAATACTTACTTTTCAGTTTATTCCACTATGGCCTTGGTGAGGGTGTTAGGTACTTAAAAACTAAATACTCCACTGTTGTTGTAGTGCTCTCATAGAGACAAGCTCCTTTCCTGGAGCATGAGGAGGAAGGCTACTTCTTTGTTCTCACAGCCACACAGTTACAACAAGCGCAGAGTCAGTGCTCCATGTGTGTTCAATAAGCATAGGTGCAAGTATAGAAATGGATTCAGAAGCCAGCTAGTAAAAACTACTACAGCAGTATAGAATTTGTTCACAAAACCCAGCGTTGTAACAGCACTTGGAGAGGAGAGTGGGAATCTGAGATGATTCCGTGCTGGTTGCTGCTAGTCACACGGGTTTTATTGAATTTCCTGTGCATGCATTTTCTTGTAGCTGCAATGCAACTCAGTGCCTTTTAAGTCCTGATCCCCTTGTTTAACTCAGTCTCTAAAATAGTGTTGTTAAATCTGCTTCCAAATCGGGGTTTCTTTCTTCAGTTGTTCTAAAGATTAAGATCCTTCTCCTGAAGTTGCTGTTGCATATCTCGATGTAGGACAGAGAACAATCTTCAGGTATCTTGACAACTCTTTGTGTTGTATAACTGAAACATTACTCTAAAAGACAATTTATATTAGTATAAACTTACACCAACAGAATGCTGAAGCACTGTTATTGTTAAGCATGACTGCATGAAGTTTCCACTGTATAGCAAACTCTAACTACATAAGGATATAATCTTTGCAGGTTGAATACCGTTGTATTTAGTGCACCAGATCCAAAACGCTGTGGTGGTACTTGGACTGACGTCTATCTTGTGGGCAACTTCTCCTCTTCTGCACAGTTCTTTGTTACGCTTGCAGTGTTGGTATTCCTCTACTGCATTGCTGCCCTTGTGGTATATATTGGATATAAACATGTGTATCAGCAAAATAGCAAGTTTCCGCTAACTGTAAGTAATATTAAGATATTTTAATGTTTTGCCTTTGAAACCACAAAGAGATGAGAAATACTGCTAATAAAAGAATATCTGAATATTCAGTAGTTCCAAAAGTTAGATGGAGCATGAACACAAGTATCTCAGACTAGTCACTACAGCACTCAAGCAGAAAAGGGGATGCAAAGCCCTTGAACATCCATGGCATCATACTTTATGCAGTTATTAAAGCAGAGTGGAATGAAGTTCCACCTTCTCAGGTGAGCAGTGTCTTCACCACAACTTTTCTTTTGTATCATGTATTTGAATATACAAGTGTTCCATAGGTGGAACCTCCTCTGTTAGTCTCTGGGATTTTTCCCTGTGTAGAGCACTTGCTGTGCAGGTGCAATTGACAGAGGGACACAGTTATGTTGTGAATTTTGGTCACCTTAAATACTAAAGCCCTGATCCTCAGAATGAGAAATTTCAGAGCATGCCCAGAACCAGACCTAGCAACCTTTCAAGACATATTTTAGCATATCAGCCATCCAGATTTAAATCCTCTGCCCTTTCTCCCCTGTCATCCCCACTTTAATAAACTTAAATTTTTATAATGTAAGTGCTAGGCACCTGATTGTAGAAACTAATTTCTTACAAAGGATAAAATAGCTTATGCTTGATAGGTGCAAAAGGCATACAGTTTTGTAGCTGATTATCAACAGAGAATATAACTTGTGTTGTAATTACACTGTTAACGGCTAAATTTGCTTGTGATCATTAGCACTGAAGCAGTTATTTTGGTGATATAATCGATGCTGTCTCTGCCTTGCTCTCCTGTGTACATTCATGCAAATTTTTTTAACCTAATAATGAGCACTTCTTTTCTGTAGGACTTGGCTGTCACTGTCATAACAGCCTTTCTGTGGCTGGTCAGTACTTTAGCTTGGGCAAAGGCACTTGCTGACATCAAAATGTCCACAGGGGCCAGCATTATTCCGGGCATTGAATCTTGCAAAGCACCAGGAACAACTTGTCGTTTTGCTTCTGTGACCAGCATGGGAACTCTGAATGTGTCTGTGGTATGTATGCCTTCTGCCATATGGGTACAATAAATGTGTTAGAAAATAGCCAATGGCACCCCAGAGCCCTGTTCTACTGATTGCATGCGTTGCTTTATGTGTTGAGATTGCTTTATGGGTTATCAGTCTTTCAGGCCCATTAATACTGTGGTAAAACACCGACCAAATTTTTTCTTTAGAATGAAACTTGTTTCCTCAAAGAAATTCAGATAAACAACTTGTAGGATCTGTCTCTAGAGCTGTTAGATGCAGCATTTCCAGACACATTTGAGTCTCTATTTCTGTCTGTAGCCAAGAGCACCTTAAAATATGTTACTGAACCACCCAAGTGGTTTGTTGACTGATATAAGAGGAAACACTATGCTTCCTGCTCTCTCTTTTGGTGCTGAACCTAGCTTTTTAATCAACTGTGCACATTTTTACACATCATAGATTCATAAAAGACCAGGTTGGAGGGACCTCAAGGATCATTTTGTCCAACCTTTCTAGCACAATCTAGATGAGATGGCCCAGCACCATGTCCAGCTGAGTCTTAAACGTGTTCAGTGTAGCGGAGTCAACCACTTCCCTGGGGAGATTATTCCAATGATTGACTGTTCTCATTGTGAAAAATTTACCTCTCGTGTCCAATCGGAATCTCCCTGGGAGTAACTTGTACCTGTTACCCCTTGTCCTCACCATGGGACTCCTTGTAAAAAGGGAGTCTCCCTCTTCTTTGTAGCTCCCCTTTAAGTACTGGTACATGGTGATGAGATCACCTCTAAGCCTCCTTTTCTCAAGGCTGAACAAACCCAGCTCTCTCAGCCTATCCTCATACGGCAGGCTTCCCAGACCCTTGATCATCTTGGTGGCCCTTCTCTGGACACCCTCCAGCCTGTCCACATCTTTTTTTGTATAACGGGGACCAGAACTGTACACAGTATTCCAGGTGGTCCACCAGGACCCCCAGGTCCCTCTCCACAGAGCTGCTCTCCAGCCAGGTGGATCCCAGTCTGAGCTGCACTCCTGGATTATGTCTTCCCAGGTGCAAGACCTTACACTTTGTTAAACTTCATAAGGTTCCTGTTAGCCCACACTTCCAGCCTATCTAGATCTTCCTGCAGGGTGGCTCTCCCTTCCAGAGTGGAATAGAGGTCAAATAGAGGTTCCTTGTAATACAATGATATAAAGGTCATGTTCATGGAAAGAACTCTTCACAGCAGGGAAAATGAGGCTTATTGTATGATTTTTCCTAGTGAATCCTGGTTTTCAAAACTCCGGCTGTTATTCATTGGCCCAGTAATAATTAATCATGTGCTCTGGATGTGGATATGCGGAGGTGCTGAGTGACTGAAAAGAATTTGTCTAAGTCCATGCGAAGGATAAAGTAGACTATCTGATTTCCAAAGAAGTCTGTTTAAAATAGCTTGTAATACCCTAAAGCATGTGGAAATGTCTTGTCTGAATCAAAGGGGTGCCAATAAGAGCAGTTGTTTCTGGCTTGCCTTGAAGTTGTATTCTGTCTCTTAAAAAAAAAAAAAAAATCTTAATCTCACCTTTTTTTCTTAACCTACAGGTGTTTGGCTTGCTTAATATGGTTTTATGGGGAGGAAATGTTTGGTTTGTATACAAGGACACCAACTTGCACAACCAATCAAACAGAATTTCTCGAAGTCCAGGAATATATCCAACTCAAAGAGGAGTATAAAACCAAGGTGATACTTTGAAGTGCTTCCACTTTTACATCACAATGCCAAGAGCATGGAGCCATTGGGATTTATTTCAATAATAACTGATAATACTTTGTACAAACTTCTGTTTTGTACTGTGGTTTGTCATAAGGTCTTGGACATTCCAATTAAAGTGTTTAATTATCTTGAAATATATTATGCCTTTTGAAGTTGTGCAGCTTTTTATTGTGTTTTTTTGAAGAGCAAAATGTTGAGGCTATCTGGATGCTGACCCTTTCAGGTTCTTAAATAAGCCTAATAGGAGGGATGGGTGAGAAGCAACTGCATTTGGGTTATTACTGCAACTTCTTTTAGTTCCAACAAGCCTTCAATGAAAAAGGAAATACAAATGCAAATAGGGCATGTGAAAATGCAGTTCAGTTTCCTCCTATCACTGATACCTTGCAAAAGCCACGTGAGTAGAACTCAGAGCTCTGTCAGAGTTGCAGCGATCACATGTAGGTTTCTAGATATTCCACTCAGATTACTGTAGCAAATCTGCTGACAGGTGTGTCTGGAAGGACATTACTTCTGTATTTAATATGTTGTTACTATTTAATGGCTTGGGACAATCTCTGAACAAGAAGATAGCTTATAGTCTCACTATAAACTCTTTTAACAAAGATGAGTGTGTGTATATGTGTGCAATAGATGACTTAAACGCTTGGGGGGGGAAGCAAAGTATGGCCCAAAACTCTTACAAATACTGTAGAAATCAAAGCTGATGTATTCTAACTGCTAGTGTCTGGGCTTCTATGAATTCCTTTTGAGGTGCATGAACAATGCTTGTGTGTGAAAGGACGTAACTGGAGATGTCTGAATATGATGAAGTCTCTGTTGATGTTGTTCAGCTTGTTCATTGGGAGAAATATTTGGTTCTTCTTATGTGGACTTCTTTATTAAGATATCTGACTCTCTGTGAATTGCCCAGAAAGAATATTTGTATTGACAAATCTAATAAACAAGCTCTTCAGGTTTTTTGAATTAAGCTGTTTGTGATGAAAATAGACATAATAGTGTGCATATAATACAAATCCTAATTGTTCAGTGTGCCAGAGCTACTGACTTTCTGATATAAACTTCCAGTCCAAATAGTATAATAAAATAAGTATCACTGCTGAAAGAATGTGCCTTGAATCCTTACTGCTGTAACAGCAATGCAAATGTATTGGCTTTGTAGCTTCTGGGACATGGCTTTAGCTATTGCTGACCTTGCTAGCTGAATGAGGTATCTGTGCTACAGAAGGGTTTTTACACTGATACCTTGGATTTTTGGAGAGAGGACTGTCACTCCTGCAGACTAAAGCTGCCTGGTGCTGCCCAGCACTTCTTTCTGTCAGCCCAAAGTGGGCTATTCTTATTCTATAAGTTCTATTACTTATAACTGTCCAAAATTTCACTGGAATTTCCTTTTGGAAGAGGTAATAAGTGCAATGTTCAGGTGTCCTTTTCTAAAAGCATGATCTTCTGCTTCTTCCCCATTCCTGGATAAGGGATTTGAAAGCAATAAGCTATTTCTGCTTGGCAATACTAGCTGTGTTATTGCCACAAGAAAACAGACTTGCCTTTTCTCAGTGGTTATTCAAGTAGCAAGTATTATCCCACCTTACAAAGGTCACTTGAGGGAAGATAAGAGAAAAGCAGTACTCGGTTCTAACTCTTGCAAAATGTGGTCTTGTACTATGTACCATTGTACAACGTAGTCTTCTTGGGACCTTCCCTCCTGTGTCCTGGACCTTCTGCAACTCAAGAGGCAATTCTCAGCAGAAGACTGGGGCATAGGGTTTAGAAAGGATGATACCGTTCTTCTATTCGGAGGTGAGATAAACCAGTTACTTCTATCATAGGTTTGTTTGGGATTTTTTTGATACCAATGCTGGCCTATGATCTAAAAGGCTGATGAAACTGCCATGGGTATGACAATGAAATGTGCTTTTTGGTTTTTTTTGTTGTGTTCTTTTCTTTGTTTTTTGTTTTGGTTTTGTTGTTTAGCTTCACACTCAAACATCTTTAAGCAGATTGGTGTTAACGCAGTGATTGATCCAGCTCTCTCCACATCCCTGCTTGGGTAGATGTTATATGTGAGTGGGCCAGGGCACGTGCATTGTTCTGGTAGTCCCATCCTATTTGCACTTCCTTTACCATGAGAAAATGAATTATGGCTGGGTAGTCTTCTGTCACCTCGGTGGTCTGAACTGGGTCTTGAAGCTTCACTGGAAGTGTCGATGATAAAAGGTGCGTGTGATCTTTTCTTTCATCTCTGCTATGAGGGCCTACCCAGCAGAATTGTACTGAGCTATCAATGTAGTGTGACCCTTGTGGAAAGGCTGTGTGTATAGCAATTGCAATGTTTTGGTGTTAGCTAGCATAAAATGCAAAGCTCTTGTGGAGATTTAAGGTACTGAGTCAGATAATTGATACAAATACAAGCAGGCGTTATTTTGAAGTGCTCCTGTGCTAGCTGTTCTCCTGCCTCTCGAGAACCCCTGCTGACAATGACTTGTGTGCCGTCCTTTCTGACCTCTTCACTTGCATCAGTTTCATGTTGCAAATGCTAACTTAAACCTGAAATCCTCATTCCTCCTTGAAGTGAATTCATTTATTACCTAATGCTGCCCTGATCTGACAGTTGTCACAGATGGCTTGTTTTGTAATGTTAGATCTATATCACTATGAATAGTTGGGAAGAGAGGGACAGAAAGGAGTTGGGGAAAGAAAATTACTTTGTTGCTGTACATAGGACTCTCCTCCCCCCCCTTTTTTTGGCAAGTCAGAACTATTGGACCTTCTCTGTTGCTCTCTTCCTAAAAGAATTATAGATACCTGAGATCAGCTCTGTGCTATTTCATCATGGTGAGCTATGATAGGATCACTGATACAAGGTTACGAAGATCAATAGTGATACGTTTTGGTAATTCTATTACTGTATTTTAAATTTCAAAGCTAGACCTGAAGCAAATTATTCTTTGTCACCTGATCAAAGTTCGCAGTGCTTTCAGCAAGAGGTGGAACCAAGTTTTTTTCAGAGGTCCCTTCTTTGTAATGTTGTTGGTTTTTTTTTTTTTTTCTAACACCTGATGGGCCATTGTTTGCCCCCTGTTGTCAGCTAGAGGCTCCCTGTTTGCACCACTGTGCATGCTTATTTAAAATATGTATTTCATCCTAAAATCTAAAACTTCTATGAATTTTCATCTTGCCTAAGAAAAAATGCTGCTAATTATAGATTAAGTTTTTTTAATCTCATAATTCTTTGGGATTTAAGGTTACATATGATGTGGCTAAAACATTTGTTTTATTAACCTTTAATATTTTTAACAAAACTATGTTCCTGTCTATTTAGTATGTGCTTATCTTCCAACTGAAGCTCCCGTTCTACAACAAACCGACTTAGTCACAAACAGCCCTGGTAGAGCCATTGGGATGGCTTAGTTATAAACTGGTAATTGTGTGTATTTTTGCACACAAGAGAGCAGAACTTCAGCTGAAAAATTAGATCAGTATATGCCTCATTGATGGCGAAGGTCTAGCCAACAAGCAAAACTGAAACAGAGTTGGAAAGCTTAGCATACCACGATTGATTGTTTCAACAAAAACTTAAATGTCATATGCACTTAAAGAGACATTCCTGTTTTCCATAGGGCTAAAACTTTCCCTTACACTTTTTGTAGATGAAACAACTGTGTCCCATCCCCAGAATGCTTTCCTTCAGAAGACAGGGAGACCAGATATGGCGGGCAGGACTTATAACTGGTAAAACATAGATCAACAGATACGTGGTTATATTTTGTTGAAATTAAAGCTGCCTATGTGTGTGTTCTGCACACTAAATGTTAACAGTGTCCTGGCTCTGAAGGCTAAGGTGAGCGTGACAAGTAGTCCACAGCAACCAAGATTTTAAAAAGGAAAAATAACCACATGTCCCCTTCTGGTTCATTAGGATAAGACTTGTTTTCCTTCACAAGGGGGAGGGTCTGACACAGAATACCGCTGGCTTTGATGTCTGCTAGAGTCCTGCAGCTGAGATGAAATGGAAAGCATCGTGCAGCAGGAGCAAGCAGCTGCTCTCATTTACGCTGGACACCCGCAAAGGGCTGAGCAGCTTTTGCCTTTGAATTGACATCCCACCCATGCTGGCAGCACCAAAATACTCAGTCTCTTATTTACTCATGAAAGGGGAAAAAAAAAAAGGACTCTCTGCTGACTGATTTTACTAGCTTTATCTTGACTGCACAGGAATTGCCACTGCTATCAGGAGATGCAGCGCACTTGATCCCCCTGTGTTGAGGGAACAAAGGGCCTGGCACTCTGCCAGGTCTCTCCAGGTAAGGTATCCTCCGCTGGCAGCAATCTCTCTTGCAGGCATCGGTGGAGCAAGCTCATGAAAATCCTCTCACGCTGCATGAATTCTTCTGGTAGCAGGCTATAGTTATGCAGCTCTAGTGAGTGAAATGAAGTAGGATGCATGGTGTGATACTAGAGAGAGGAATTGTGATCAGAAACCCATGGCAGGAAGAAAGAGTGGATGGTGGCAGTGAAGGAAAATGAAGCTGAGGAGCCAGTATGGGATAGCAATAGGGAACCCCGTGGCAGAGAATAGAATCCCATCAGCATTAGGAGGTGTTTAAGGAACCAAGTAATTTGTGTTTTAGAGTGCTGTGATCAGTGATCTGAGGGTCGGGCCTGTGTGACAATGCTGAGAAATGTACGTACTGTGTGTTTTGACTTCCAGAGGAGTCCCTGCCATGGGAGCTAGCATCGTGTCAGTGGTGGCTGACAGCTTTGCCACCAACCTGAAGGAAAAGCCATAGGAACTCAAGCTCCAGAGAGATCTGACAATGTCAAATCTCCAGAGGCCAGTGCAGATGGTGCTGACTAGTCACTCCAGAATTTGTATTGTTATGGCCACTATTGCCCCAGTGAGCAAACCCATCTCAAACACAGGCTGGAGCCAGGACACTGAAATGCTAGCTGACAGATC